AAGACTGTCAAACAGAAGGACTCCCCCTCAGCATCAGAAGGCACTGGAATGAGCCAAGGTCATGTCCAAAGGGTCAAAAAACCACAGGGAATATGGAGGAAAGGGGAATGGAAAGCTTTCAGAACAGCAGAAGGGAAGCCCCTAGCTAGGACTCAGAAATAATAGTTCATAGCTTCGGAGTTAGAAGGACCACAGAAAGATGGTCATCTATTGCAAGCCCGTTTATTTTACAGGTGAGTCAACTTGTCCAACCCCATCGCATTTACAGGTGAGGAAAGTGAAGTCCAGAGAGGTTGAGTGACTACCTTTGGTCACACAGTGAGTAACAGACCCAGGATTTGAACCCAATTGCTCTGACTTCAAATCTAGTGTTCCTTCCATCATAGCAGGCTGCCTCCCTCCAAAGACAGCCAGGCAGTTCACCCATGCAGGCTCCCTCTGGCTTTTCTCCATGGAATCAGGGACAAGGTGCCACTCCTCTGTGCTTTAAGACCTCCAGGGGTAGGGCAAGGACCTCTCCCCTGACTCCCAGGGGTCAGAATTCCTTCTTACATTTAGCCACCACGGGCAGCCCTCTCTGATCTGTCTCTCTGATTGCTTCAGCCTCCAGACCTGCTTTTGTCTGCTGTTGCTACCAAGATCAGGATTGCATTTTCTGGCCTCCCAAGGAGGGGGGGAGGTGCTTTGGCCCCACCTAGCTTCTAACGTCTCCCTCTCCCAGAGCAGGCAGGCTTGTCTCCCCTAAAGCTCCCTACTACCCCGCAGTAGGATCCTGCTCCTCCTTATCCACCCCCTCCCACGACTCCTCATTCTCCCCCTTTCTCCCCCCCTCCCTGCCCATCACTGAGTTAATGTACAATCTTTGACAGGTACTCTAATTAACTAGAAGTCTAATTGACCCCTTCAGTTAGGGGAGTGGGGTGAGGAAGTGGAAGGAAAACAAGGCCTGGCTGAGAAGAAAGAGCACTAGGTTTCCAGGGTCTATTTAGACTTCTGACCACTCCCCTGTGCCTACCCCTGACCTCAAGTACAATGGAAAAGGCACAGAACTTGGGGTCTGCAGCTGGGTTCAAATTGTCCCTGTGGCTTATTCCCTTGGTCTGGCTCATCTGTAAAAGGAGGAGGTCAGTCTCAAAGAGCTCTAAGGTACCTCTCTCTGTCTCTCTGTCTCTGTCTCTCTCTCTCTTCCCCTCCTCCCCCTCCTCCTCTGTACCCTTCCCCTGTACCTTTCTGTCACTGTGTCTCTCTTCTCTCCTTGTCTCTGTCTGTCTTTCTATATCTGTTTCATCTTGCCTTGTACAGTATACATGATTTCCAATCCTCCTCCTCATAAGGCTAAATAGGGCAAAGGTTCTTAATCTGAGGTCTACAGATAGGTTTTAGAGGATCAGTTGACCTTGGATGAGGAAAAAGTTCCATCTTTATTTCAATATAACTGGATTCCTTTTTAATCCTAATGCTTTTTTTTTTTTAGGCAATCAGGGTTAAGTGACTTGCCCAGGGTCATACAGCTAGTATCCAAGGCCATATTTGAACTCAGGTCCTCCTGACTCCAGGACCACTGTTCACTGTGCCACATAGCTGTCCAATCTTAATACATTTAAAAACAATATTCTGAGAATGGTTTCACCAGGTTGTCAAAGGGGCCCACAGCACAGAAGAGATTAAAAACCCTTAGTCTGGTATGAAAAACTCTGGCCTTGGAATCAGGAGCACCTGAGTTCAAATCCAGTCTCAGACACTTAACACTTAGTAGCTGTGTGACCCTGGGCAAGTCACTTAACTCTGATTGCCTCACCAAAAAAAAAAAAAAGAAGAAAAAAAAAGAAAAAAGAAAAACATTGACCTTAGAGTCAGAAACCCTAGCTTGAAGTCTGCTCTGACACTACATGACCTTGGGCAAATAAATTTTTTGGAACTTGGTTCCCTCATCTATAAAATGGGGATAAAAATATTTGTACTATTTACCTCATAGAGCTGATGGGGGGAAAAAAAAACCTCTCGTAAACTGTTATGACAATGTTGTAAAGACAAACAACTTTGAAAGACAAGAATTTTGATCAATGCAATAACCAACCATAATTCAGAGAGAACCAGTGATGAGGCACGCTACCCACCTCCTGGCAGACAGGTGATGGACTCATGCCACAGAATAAGATATACATTTTTGGATGTACTAATGAGAATTTTTTCCCTTGACTATCCATATTATCCATATAATTAATAATTAATATTAATTATCCATATAATTAATAATTAATATTAATTATCCGTGTAATTAATAATTAACATTAATTAATTTTCCATATTCATTATAAGATTTTGGTTTTTCTTTTTCTGAATCAAGGGAAGTGAGGAAAAAAAAGAAGTGCCTGGTAGTTGAAAAAAAAATTTTTTAAATAAATTTTATAATACTGTGAGCTCTTATCATCAGTACATAATTAATGAGCATCTAATATGAATACTGTTCTAGGATAGGCCCAGGACCCAGCAGCCACATGAGATATGACTGTGAAGTTAGAGAAAAACTATCTCTCCCAAGGAAAAGACCTTAGAGACCACCTAGTCCAGTGGTGCTAAACTCTAATAGAAACAGAGGCCATTAAATCATACATAAGGATCCCTTTAGGCTACATGTATTGACTTAAAAAACCATGTACTAACATTATTGATGTTTTATTGTATTTTATTAATTTTGTTAAATATTTCCCAATTACATTTTAATCCGGTTTCAGACATTACAGGGGATGATTGTGGGCTACATTCGGCCTCATGTTTGAAACATCTAATCTGGATGTAGAAACTAGGGACTTATGAGGTTTAATGACTTGTCCAAGATCACACAAATGGTAGAGTTGGGATTTGAACTCACACCCTCGGATTCCAAATTCAGCATTTTTTTCCACTGTCTCTCCCTCCCCCCTCCTCCCAGCAATTGGTCCTAGATAGGACCCTAAGCCTTGAACACACCCTCTTTCACTTGGTTTCAAGCACTTGTTGGGGTAGGTCAGAAGGTCACTGGCTCCCTTCAGATCAACATTTGCCCCAGGGCTTCCTCTTAGGTTCAAAAGATTCCTCAGAAAGGAACTTTCCTAAGAGGAGTGGGAGAGGCCTGGTAGTTAACTTTTGCTTAATAAATGTTTGTTTATTGATTGAATAATCCCCACCATTCTCTCTTTTCTCTCCACTAAGGGTACAGGTAGAACTACAGAGGTAAATCAGGGAGAGGGAAGAATAGGAAATGTATTTTCCTAACAAATTAGACAATCAGAGAGATTCCAATACCTCTGAATCCCAGCCTTGGGGGAGGGAGTGGGGACAGGAGTGGGGCCGGGGAAATGGGGCAGGTGTTTATAAGAAGGGCTAGGTTTCTGAATGGAAAGTGCTTCTCTCTACAGAAGGGATTGAAAATGGAATTTGGATAAGGGAAATGGGGACTGCCAACAGGCTCAAAGCTGGAAAGGACCTTAGAGGTCATATAGTCCAACCACCTCATTTGACAGATGAGATAAGATAGGATTGCACAGAGATTCTGGGCAAGTGTGAATCTGTGGGTCGTGCTCCTGGGGAAGAGGAGAGGGGAACATAAAGGGTAGTTAGATTTAGAACTAGAAGAGATGTAGATACTATTTAGTCCAAATCCCTTATCTTACAGAAGAGAAGAAAAGAAGTTAAGGGACTTGCCCACATTTACAAGGGGAAAAAATTTCAGAGCCAGTGTTCAAAGCTGGCTCAGATGATGGCAAATCCAGTGGTTCCTGTCACTATTCCAAAGAGTTGTGTTCCCTCAAAAGCCTCCCAACTCCAGAGATTAAAGAATCAGGGTTTAAGGGGAGGGGGCACAGAGTAGCTGTGAAGCCACCTGATGCCCAGTCAGCAATGCCCCTGCAAACAAAGCAAGGTCTTGTACCTGCTCTCCTTAATTCTAAGTTCTGGGTTCCAGTACTTCCTTTCTCTCTCTATCTCTGTCTGTCTGTCTGTCTGTCTTTCTGTCTCTCTTTCTCTCTCTGCCTCCCTCCCCCCCTCCGTTTGCTTCCTAGACAATAAGTAGATACAGCTGTTCATCCACCTCCATACCTAGGGGATTACAGTACAGAATTAATTAATGTTTGCAAAATGCTCAGGGAGACCCAGGGGGTGGGAACCCTGAGGCGCCAGGTGAGTGCCAGACTTGTTGACAGACTCTGCCCGAGAGGAGGGGCTTTGGGGAGAAGGGAAATGGGGGAGAAGGGAAGAAACAGGATCGGCTAGCTCTCAATAATGAAAGGGGGGGTGTATAAAAAAGTCTAGGAAAGTGGAAGTGGAAGGTTAAAACTTTTAATCATTTGGATGCCCCAGTATCGGGCATAGAATAATAGTTTCACAGCTGGTAAGTACCTTAGAGACTGGTCCAAAAGGAAGGAATTCGAGAAAAAAGATGCTAGGCTAAGAGCCTAGCTGGTCAGTGCTACCCTGGAGCTGCCCAAAGGATCTGAACCCACTGAGGGGCCCTTACTCACATCCTTACTCCAATCTAGCACCATAAAATCCTCTTCCCTGGGACCCCCGACCCACCCTTCCTTCACCCAGCTGCAGCTCAAGCCTTGTATTTCTTTCATACCTGGGGAGGGAGTGAGGATGGGGCTTAGGAAGAAGGGGTCAGTGTCTTTCCCTTTACCCTCTCCTGTAGGGGAAAGGGGAGCCAAGAAGAGCTGAGACTCCGAAGGAGAGCAAGAAGAGGGGAGCTGTAACAGGGGCGGGGGACAACCAGCCAGCGCCGTCAGGGCCCTCGCCTACTACCTGAGCAAACATTCACTTCCTTTCTCAAAGAAAAATATGCAAGTATTTCCATCTTTCCCCCACCCCCTCCTAACAAACCGGGGGCAGCCGTCTCTGAGTTCCGAACTGCTTGGGACTCTCCGTCGGTGGGCGTGGGGAAGGAGGGGCACTGCCCACAACGAGGACAAGGGGACCCGCTAGCCCTCACCCCGTCCCGGACCAGGTCCTCACTTCTTACTTACCCTAGAGTACTGATGAAGCCATTGACCGAGCCCTCGGCGTACAGGGAGACGATGTCCCCAATGTGGAGGAAACTGGACATTTCGTTCATGGCTGCAGGCAAGTGTGTAGCCTGGGCACCCGAGGGGGCGCACTTAGAGAGGGCGAGGAGTAAAGAGCTTTTCAGGGGGGCGGGGAGGAGCGCACCCCCAACCTCGGAGCAGCACGGTCAGCTGTGACCAGGATGGGTTCAGCCGGAGAGTAGCGCGGGCGGAGGGGAGGGACGCGTTATGCCTGGAAGGCTGCCCCGAGGTCTCCACGAGCCCTCCAGCACTCCAGCCGAGCCCCTCTACTGCCCTCCCAGCTAGCTACCTGCAATGGAGGGAGAGCAGGAAGTCTGGGGCCGCCACACACATGCAAATCCAGCCCTGGGAGGCGGGGAGGCCACACCCCAGCTCACCCCACACCCCCCTCTCCCCTGCTGAGGCCAGCCAGGCTGAGCCCAAGTCAAAGCGAAGGAAGGTGGAGGGACAGGAGACCCTGCTCCCCAATCACCCGAGCTGGGAAGGGACCGAGACGTGGCATGTTCCCGCTCCCAATTACTCTGGGGCCCTACCCTCCTGCCCAGATCCCAGACCACAGCCCGGGGGCTGTAAACGAGGTCCTGGGGAGGAGGGGAAAGGGATGGAAAGGAGCTGAGAACTCCCGAACTGAACACGCAACTGAAGCAATCCTGAATCCATCCGAAGACCCCTTCCCAGGGCGCACCCACCCGGTTGCGCAGTAGGGTTAGTGTGAACCTTCTCCCAACCCCTAGTGCTGGTTCAGATTTCCAGCTGTGGAGGAGACAGCTCCGCTCCCTAAATCCACAATCTCGGGGCGGGGGTGGAAGGTTGGAAGAATTGTGCTGTACCGAGTAACAGGGGTGGGGGCAGAAGGCACTTTCTCCTGCTGGAAGTATCGGTCTGGGGGAGCCACAGGGCTCTAAAGGCGGAAAGAAGTCAGCACACACCTCCCTCCCAGTTTCAACTCTTTCCCTCTCATTTTGTGTCTAGCGCCCAAGTGGGTGCAGGATCTTCCTATTTCAGGGCAGTCCCAAGACTGCTTCGAACGCACTCCCTTCTCCCGCTCCCAGCCCAGCACTGTCCCGCACCGCCCCAATGTGTAGGGCGTGCTGGTCAGACCCCTGTAAATCACTTCATTTGGTAAAAACCTGAAAAGGCCTTTCATTGCAAAATAAAGCAACAGGGTGGGTTTTGTTTACTGCATTTTTCTTTCCTCTCCGGATTCCTCTACACAAAGCAAAAAAGGATCCAACTTTCGAATCTGTTCAGTTTCTCCCTCTCCTAGGAGCGGGGTGAAAACTCCCTCAATCCTAATTCCCCAACTCCTCCCTCTGCCCCTGTTCCCCGCCCCCACGTTCTCTCTCTCTCTCTCCCCCCCTCTCTCTTCCTCCCCCTCTCTCTCTCTCTCTCCCCCTCCCTCCCTCCCTCTCTCTCTCCCTCCTTCCCTCTCTCTCTCTCCATCCCTCTCTCCCTCTCTCTCCCTCTCTCTCCCTCTCTCTGCCTCTCTCTGCCTCTCCCCCCCCCTCCCTCTCCCTCTGTCTGAAAACTACTTTTGCTATGTAGTATTAATGTGCTGCAAACAATGAAATGGGTGTCGCACAAAACCCATGCACTGCAGAGTTCCTGCCCTCCGGGATAGAAGGCAGAAGTGCTGTGCGAGAAAGCACATACATACACAAAGATACACATATTCTCGAACACACATACACACACGTGCTCGAACACTCACAAGTTGGTGCACCACGCACTCATACAGTCGCTCTGTAGAGAAAGCTTACAATTAGCTTTGTTTTCTGTACTTCGGTGTTTATTTTCCTCTCTTATTTGACCTCCAGAGGCTCGGTAACTACTAGATGGGTGACATTCCCCAAATTCACTTCTTCCTGCCCCCGGGAAGGCTTACCTACAGCGAAAGTGGGAGCACTGGGGGAGGATTCTGAATGAAGAAGAGGATAGGTGGAGGGGCTAACCCAGCGTTTCTGGACAGCTTGGAAGGAAGCTCCCTTCCATAGGAGGGAAGATGAAGGCGAGGTGGTGAACTGGGGAAAGCCTTTTAGAGGAGTATCCTGCTGAACAAAGACTGTCAGTACTCGATGGGAATTTAGATATCATCTAGTTCCACCTCCTGGTTTTACAGATGAAGAAACTGAGACTGAGAAGTGGAAAATGATTTTCCATTGCCTTTGGTCCCAGAGATAGTCAGTGGAAATCTGGGACTAGAACCCAACTCCCAGTTCAGTGTCTTTCCACTTTGCCAAGTTGCTCCCAAGGTCTTCCTGTTCTAGATTTGAGATTCAGGCACTTGGGAGTTTGGGTTACCCACAGGTTCAGCTTTACTAAAGCAGAGAGTAGTATGGCCACTTGGCCTTCACTGATGCTATATCAGAGGCTGGGAAGCCTCTTCCAAAAAAATGTTTCCCTCATTGATTGTCATTGTATCTAAATCCTGTTTCCAAATGTCAGCCTTAAGATGACAACTTCAACTTTGGCAGCCAACCTAGGAGCAAGATCCTGTAGAAATGGCACACTAAAGTGTCTTCTCAGATTAGGTGGGGCCTAAAATCGGAGGCTATAGGTAGGACTTACTTCTTGGTTCTGGGTACCACTAAAGGTATTTGGGTAGAGAGGGAAAGGGGGAGAAAGGAGAGCCTTGTGGGAGACATTAAAAAAAAATCTTTTTTTTTTTTAAATGCAATATAGTAGACCAGACAAAATGTTGATATTGGAACCAGGAAATCTCAGTTTGATTCCTAGCTCTGGCCACTAACTGTATCATCACTTCCTCCTTGAAAATTTTTCTGATTCCTCTCACCTCCATTCCAGCTAGAATTGATCCCTCTTTCTCCTCTCAAGTCACTTATCCTTCTCTAATCAATCAACAAGTATTTCTTAAGAACCTTCTGTGTGCCAGGCACTGTACTAGGCTTTGCCAATACTAAGACAAAGAATAAAACAACCCCTCCTAGGGACAGGTAAGTGGCGCAATGGATAGAGCACCAGTACTGGAGTCAGGAGGACTTGAGTTCAAATCCAATCTCAGACCAGACACTTCACACTTACTAGCTGTGTGAACCTGGGTAAGTCACTTAACTCCAACTGCCTTGCAAAAAATAAAAAAAAAAAACCTGCTGAGAAGAAGTTTATATTCTAATAGGCCAACCTACGTTTATAACTATGCAGAATAAATACAAAGTCATTCAATGTAAGGTAGTTTGGGAGGGAGAGCATTAGGTGACTAGAAAAAAACAGATGATGCTTATGTTACACCTTAAAGCTTTGAAGAGAGCAATTTTGTGAGGCAGAGGAAGAGCATTCTAAGCATGGGACACAGCCAGTGCAAGACATCGCAGTGGGAAGTAGGAACAAAGAGGCCAGTTTTTCTGGATGGCAGTGTAGGAGGGAGAGTAATGTACAGTGATGCTGGAAAGATAGTTTGGACCTGGGTTGTAAAGAACATTAAAAGCTAAACAGATGAGTTCATATTTCATCCTGGAATCAAGAGAGAACCACTAGAATTTAGAGAGCAGGGGGAACACATGGTTATATGTACACTTACAGAAAATCACTTTCGCAGTCATGTGGAGATCAGACTAGAATGGGGAACAGATCTGAGGCATGGAGCCCAGTTAGGAAGCCATTATAATAATTTAGGTAATAAAGTGATAAGGGCCTGAAATAATGTGGTATTTGTATGGAGAGAAAGAAGGGTTTGGATGTGGGGGATGTTGTAAGGATAGAAATGGCAAGATTTAGCAGCTGGTTGCATATGTGGGGATAGGGAACATAAGGAATCAAGGATGACACCAAGGTTGCAAACCTGGAAGACTGCAAGGGTGGTGGCGCCCTTGATAGAAATAGGGAAGTTGGTAAGAAGAGTGGCTCTGGGGGAAAAGATAACAAGTTCTCCTTTGGTCACGTTGAGTTCATGATGTCTTCTGGACATCCAGTTTCTTTTTAAAGATATTTTAAATATATTTTTATTTATTTTCTTCAGTATTTCCCAAGTATATGTAAAAAAAATTTTAACATTCATTTTTTAAAATGTTGCATCCCAAATCCTTCCCCAACCCCTTCAGAAAGCAAACAATATGATAATGATTATACATGCAAATTTGTACAAAACGTATTTCCATATTAGCCATGTTGCAAAAGAAAACACACACACACAAAAACAAGAAAAATATATTTTTAAAGTGTGCTTCAATCTTCACTCAGAGTTTATCTGTTCTCTCTTTGGAAGTGGATAGAATTTTTCATCATGGGTCCTCTGGAAGTTGTCTTGGATCATCGTCTTGATCAGAGTAGCTAAGTCTTTCACAGTTGATCCTTGGCCATCCAATTTCAAATATCCAATAGGCAGTTAATGATGCCAGATTACAGTTCAGAATAGACTAAGATTGGAGATATAGATATGAGCATCAGCAGCACAGAGATGTTAGTTACACCTAAGAGAGTAGATGAGGTTACGGAAAGATGTAGAAGCAGAAGAGAAGTAGGCTTAGAGCCTTGAAGAACACTCATAGTTAGGGGGCATGATATGGACCATGAACCAGGAAGAAACTGAAAAGGAGCAGTTAACCAGGTAAAAGGAAAACCAGGAGAGAGTAAGTAGTGTCACAAAAGCCCAGAGAAGAGAGAATATCCCCGAGGAAAAGGTGTCCATAGTGTCAAATATAGTAAATAGATTGAGAAGGATGAGGACCGAAGTGGGGGGAAAAAAAACCTGATTTGACATTAAGAGAGACTTGGTAACTTGGGAGAGAGCAGTTTCAGTCAAGTGATGAAGTAGGAAGCTAGATATCAAAGGTTTGATAAGTGAGTGTGAGGAGAGGAAGTGGAGGCAGTGAGTAGAGACAGCCTTTTCTAGAAATTTGACTGTGAAAGGGAGGAAGATATGGGACAACTGTAGGGTTTAGTTAAGGTTTTTGTTGTTTTTAGGATGAGGGAGACAGACATTTTTGAAGGCAGTAGGAAAAGAATTAGTAGATGGAGAAAGGGTGAGGATTAGAGAGGAGATAATTACAGTTGCAATCTGGTATTAAGAGATAAGGGAATTCTAAGAAGGATCAACATGGATGTTGAAGACACTTCGTATAAAAGCAAGAGTTGGAGAGGACAGGAAGATGGTAAGCCAGGAGTTGAACTCCTTGAGAAAGGAGGGAAAGTGACCTGGGGGAGCTCTCACTATCTGAATTGGGTGTAAAATGTCTGACACTGTGAACATCAAAGGAGGACAGGTTTCTGAGTGAAAATGGTAAGAAAAGAGTCTGAAAGCAGCTGTGGAGAGCCAAGGTTCTCCAGCTCCTGCTCTAGGAC